CCAGATCTCAATCTAAAAGCTCCAAAGATAAAGGGTGGAATTGATGCACCTGATATGGACTTACCAGACATGGATCTTAAAGCTCCCAAATTAGATATGAACACTCCAGATATCAACACTGGCACACCAAAAGGGAAGCTGAAAATGCCAAAACTGAAAATGTCTAAGAGTAATCTACCAAATCTTAAAGGACCTGAGTTTGATGGCACTTTTGACGGCTCCAACATTGACCTCAGGGCACCAAATGCCAATTTCAAAGGTTCCAAAACTGGCTTAGAAATGCCTGATGTTGATTTTGGTAGCCCATCAGGAAAGTTAAAATCTCCAAATTTAAAATTACCTGATGTCGGATTTTCTCGACCAAAATTAGATGGGCCAGACTTCGAACAAAATTTGAAAGTCAAAGGTCCAAAAGTGAAAGGTGGACTTGATGCACCTAATCTACCTTCATCAAATATAGACTTTAAAGGTTCTAAAAATGGCTTTGAATTCCCTGATGTTGACTTTGGTAGCCCTTCGGGGAAATTTAAAACACCGCATTTGAAAATGCTTGATTTGGGATTTTCTGCACCAAAAACAGATCTCCCAAAGGTTGACCTCAATTCACCAGATGTCAGAGCTAAAGTACCAAAAGGCCCAAATTTGAAATTAAATTCAAATCTAAAAACTCCAGATCTGAATCTCAAAGCTCCAAAGATGAAAGGTGGACTTGATGTGACTAAGGTAGACTTACCAAACATGGATCTCAAAGCTCCCAACTTGGAAATGGACACTGCAGATGTTGACATTGGTTTGCCTGAGGCAACTTTAGATGTTACTGGTGCAAAAGGAAAATTTAAAACCCCAAGTTTAAATACACCAGATCTCAGTATCTCTGGACCACAGGCAAAAACACCACATATGAGACTTTCTGCACCTGGCGTTAGTATGTCAGATTTCAATTTACCTGATGCCAATTTCAAGAGTCCCAAGCTCAATACAAAACACCCTGATGTAGGGATTAATGGTAACATGGGACAACCTAGGATGGACTTTAATGGCCCTCAGTTAAGAGGCATAAGAGGTCCAGATGTTGACACAAATATTCCCTTAGGAAACATCCATGGCCCTCATGCTGATCTTGATTTAGACAGAAAATTAAAACAACCATATTTCAAGCCACCTCAATTTAGAAGCCCAGATTTACATCAAGCATCTGATATTGACTTTGGTGGAGCTTTGAGACCAACAAATCTTGATATTAATCCTCCAAATGGAAAACTGAATATGAAACAACCCCAGATGAAGGGACATATATCAAGCCCAAGGGTTAGTGCTCCAAACATGAACCTCAACATGCCCAAAGTTGCAATGCACCCTCCACAGCAGCATCTGAGATCTCCAGGTCTTAGTATTGATGATCCTTCATTGTATTTTCAAACACCTTCACATAAACATCACACACAAGATATGTCAAATCTCACCATGAAACTTCCTGACCTGGACATAGATGGTGATATCAGACTTCGTAATACTGATAGAAGGTCCCATAGAACCAAAGTAAGATCCAGCTTCCCTGGAATGGATGGCGTTTTCCACCAACATATTGATTTAAATCATTCAGATCTCAATATTGACGACTTTACAGGAAAACATCATGTGCTTAGAGCTAGAGGTTCCAACCTTAATCTCCAGGCTCCACACAGCCATGGACACGCAATCTCCCCATCTGGAGTTAACACTGGCATGAGGGACCCCAGAAGAATCCCATCTGGCCATATCAAACACAATACACGTTTGCCACAATTTTCTCCAGATTCAAGAATGAGAGCATCTAACACTTCAGATGGATACTATGTGACTGTTTTTCCCAATCAAGCACAAAATCAAAAGAGGCCAAATCGTAAATATAACACACTTGGAGGGCTTGACTTTCATCCAGGAAACTTGGACCTTGAAGTTCCCAATGAACATGACCTAAGAGGGTCAACGTTCTTTTTCTCCAACCTTGTATAGCTTTCAAAGGACTTGTGTTTCCATTTTTAATGTGCTTTTTGTACTGTAGTTATGTTTTATGTGTGTGTGTGCTTGTGTGTGTGTGTGTGCGTGTGTGTGTGTGTGTGTGTGTGTGTATATATATATCGTGGCTTTGCAATGATGTTACCTAGATTACAGTGCAGCATTATTGCTCTTATTTTATTAAATGTAGTAGAACTGCTTTTTGTATCATAAATGTTTTTATATTTTTTAACAGTTATTATTTACATTTTCTCTAACTATTATATTAAAGGAATAAAGGAAATATGTGGACTTGTGGGGTCCTATAGGGTACTTTTACAAGATTAAATGAATACATTTTCTTTAGATACTATATTTTAAATACTATCTGTTGAATTGCACAGTATTCAAAGTTGTGTATATATATTATCATTCTGGTTCTTTTGGATGTTCATTGTGTCTATTATACATGTGTATATACTGGAGTTTATTAAAAACCATTCTTATTTCAACCAAATTTTTGCTTCCAATATTTTAGAGTAATTATGGAACTTAAAACACTGTTTAAGATCATTCTTTCATATTAAAGAATTCATGTTGTTACAATACTGTACAAAGACCTTCGGGAGGTCCAGACCAGCTCCACCCAGTTCAGATAGAGGGAGAGGAGGTGGAGGTGGGTGGTCAACACATACAAGTACCTCGGGCTGTGGGTGGACAACAAATTGGACTGGTCATGCAATTCAGAGCACCTGTATAAAAAAGCCCAAAGCAGACTGTACTTCCTCAGGAGACTGAGGCCTTTTAACATCTGCAGGAAGCTCCTGAGGATGTTTTACTAGTCGGTGGTTGCTGGAGTACTTTTTTATGCTGTGGTGTGTTTGGTGAGCAGCACAGCAGAGAAGGACTCATCCAGGCTGGAAAAACTAATCAGGAAGGCTGGCTTTGTGGTCGGCATGAAGCTGGACACTCTGGTGACAGTGGCAGAGAAAAGGACATTAAAGAAACTGATGGACATTATGGACAATGCTGGGCATCCTCTGCACACGGTCGTAAATAATCAGAGGAGGCTATTCAGCAACAGGTTGCTTCTCCCAAATTCAAGAACCAACAGACTTAAAAACTCCTTTGTCCCACACGCCATCAAACTGTTTAACTCCTCACTGGAGGGGAGACAGGAGGACAAAGGAGGGCGGGAACAGCTGAGCTGTAGTGCTTTTTTCACTGTGCAGTATTCGCAATATTTTTTTCTTATATTAGACTGTGCAATAATCACTGTGCAATAGACTCACTCAAATGTGCAGTCCTATTTATCCATATTATATATTCTGTATTTATATATGTGTATATATGGTATATTTCTGCTTATATCCGTACTCTCATTCCCCTTTATTGTATCTATAACATGCAACTTCTGTCGGTGCTGTGCTGCTGGAAACTGAATTTCCCGGAGGAACCCACCCGAGGGATTAATAAAGTTTAATCTAATCTATTGCTAATCTAAACTGGTAATATGCATGGATGAAAGAGGTACAACAGACTGCCCACGGCTGTCTTTAATGCTAGGTGGAGACTGTCATGGTTTGGGGCTTCATTTCAGCCTCAAAATGACTGAAGTAGTGCCGGATCATCTTGACAGAGATGGAATAAAAGGCAGCCAGCAACTAAACAAGAACTTTGAATGTCCGTGAAGAAGCCCGGGGAACTAGGCCTGAAGAATACTTTAAAGAAATTACAAGAAGAATAATGTGTTATAAGCAAAGTTGCTCATAACAAATTCGGACTTTCGAGTTTCTTAGAACTGTACAAACAGTTTTTCCAAGTATGTTAGCACATCTTCCAATAAATCACTGTCCCCGTAAAGCAGTATTTTCCTAGAAGGAGCAGTACTTTGCACAGTACTGTAGCTGCAGCACGGTACTGTAGCTGCAGCACTGATATATAGGCAGCAATTCAAGGTTACTCAAGTGTGAAAAACATCTTTGTCTGTCAGACCCAAAGCCACAACTGAATCAGAGGTTTCTAAGAATTAACAGCTTGCATGATCAATGATCATGCAAGCTGTTAACTCAAGTTGAAAGAACAACTTAATAGTGTTCGTAGTGAGCAAGTCTCAGTTTCAATCGTGAAGAGCTTTGTTGCGAAATCAGTTTCACCCCGGTTCTTTTTATTCCTCGGGCATCCAGAGACGGCACCGGAACTCAGTAGTCATTTTCACAAAACCTGTATTCATCTTTATTCATCTTCATTTAAGCATACATCTTCTAGAAGGGGAGATGTGTCAGGCCGGTGTCCCTCTGCAGATCTTCCACACCTTTGTTTGTTACAGCCAGCTTTATAGAAGTGACCCCATCATAAAACCCCCATGGTGTGCTGCAAACTCTGTGTTTGTGTGTGTATGCACGAGGACGTGAGTGCCTGTGTGTGCGAGTACCCGTATGTCTATGTAAGTGCACATAAGTGAATGTGTGCGCGTACCTGTGTGTATGTGTGAGTGCACGTGAGTGAGTGTGCATGTGGATGTGTGAGTGTAACAGTTTAAGCACTGTGTGTGTGTCTCTGCGTACGTGACTTCCTGACGGTCATAAAACTAATCTCATCCAAGCTGCACCAAATTCCTCTACACAACATAGAAAACAGAGTTAACATATTACAAACACTGAGACCCCCACTCTGCATCCACTGGGCCGTTGGCCTCTTGCTGTCTTACATTTACAGATAAGCATGTGGAGAGTCTCCTGCAAACCTTCTTCCAAGTTATGGCAATTATGAACTTTTATTAAAGGTACAAGCATCAGCATCAACAACCCCAACTGTAGCTTCCTGTCTCCTTTTATGACAGCAGACCCCCAGTGTCAATAAATTCCTTTCCCTCTAAACAATTACACACACTCACAAGCCTACAGCTAACCCAAACTGAAACACAGACCAATCCTTCCTTATTCCTCTGATCTAAACAAATTTAACACATCATATTATAATAATTATTTTCTTGTACTCACACCTGCAGCTTTTTAACAGATTAATTGGTGCACAGTAAAAAACCAAGTGTCAATTTTACACTTACAGAGTTGATTTTAACTCTGCTTCAGATAACATTTGGTCCCACTCAAAATTAGAGTTAAATTTACTCTATGGCCAGTGTTAACTTTTCAGTGTTAATTGTACTCAATTTAGTGTCAAAATTAACAACAAAATGTGTAAAAATATTTAACACTGAGGGTTATTCACACTGTTCAGAGTAATTTGATTACACTTTATAGAGCTATTTTTACTCCAAATTTAGTTTAATAATAACGCTCTATATTACTAAATAACTGTGATCTATCCTACATTATGGAAATAACAACAAATATACAGGTTAAAGTAACAGCATTTATTATGTTTCTCATTTCAGTGT